GGCGGGGAGGAGGTGGGCGAGGCCGCCTGACGTCATCTGGTGGCATGCAGCTGCCAGGAGAGGGGGTGGGGGGGGGGGGGGGGGGGCTACTAATTAACAAGCCGTTAGTCCAAATAGGTCCACGTTCGGACTTCCTCCTCCCCCACCTCAGCTTCCGCCCACACTCAGCCTTGAATGACTCTGCTGGCAGCTGCATGCCACCAGATGACGTAAGGAGGAAAGGGGCGGGGCCACGGCAGACTATAAAGTAAGCCTCGGTTCATTCACAACCAAACTCTGGATTACTACTGTCGACCAGAAGCTCCTGGAAGGGACACACAGAGAAGGGGGGGTCCACAAACCTAAACCGTGAAAATGTCCGCGGAGGAGATCAGCCACGTCCTCAAAGAGGGAGAGCTGGAAAAGAGAACCGACAACCTGCTCCAGTTCTGGAAGAAAAAGACGTGCGTCCTGACCACGGACAGCCTGAACATGTACGCGGACACGCACAGGCGCTCCAGGGGCAAAGAGCTCAAACTGCAGTCCATCAAGAAGGTGGACTGCGTGGAGCGCACCGGCAAGTTCGTGTACTTCACCATCGTGACCACGGACAACAAGGAGATGGACTTCCGGTGCTCGTGGGAGCAGAACTGCTGGAACGCGGTGATCACCATGGCGCTGATCGACTACCAGAACAGGAAGGCCATCCAGGACTTCAAGACGCGGCAGGACAGTGAGAGCGGCTCTCCGGGGCAGGAGGAGAGGCGCATGGCCAGGGCGCCCTGATCCGCCGCGCACGCGCTGCGTGCTCTGAACATGGAGAGAGGCGCACGAGGACGCACTGATTCTAAACCCAAAGATCAAAGCATCACATGTTTGTGGAAACCGAATGCCTTTATCTCCCTTCAGTGTCGAGTTGGACTATTTATAAGTCGAACCAAGCGGAGGACGGAAGTCCTCCGGGTCCAGAGATGAAGGATTGTTCGGAACCGAGCCCAGAACCGGGCCTGATCCAGCCTCCACAGGACTGGACTCAGAACTATTTCATCTTTGCTCTGCGGAGAGGAAGTGACTCCTTAAAGCGTGTTTTTAATTTATTTGTTTCCAGGAAGTGGTGTTACTGGCAAACAGCTCATTTTTGTTTAAATTATTTTACTATTTCAACGTGTTTAAGTGTATTTATTTGAATAAACAGCCATGTGTTTTTAACATAACTCATTTGTATCTTTTTCTTTTCACTTGAGTTTTTTTTTTTTTCCTCCCTGTTCAGGTTTAATATTCCATAAAACCGGAAGCAGTTTTGACTAAATGCCACACGTGCAACTGTAAAAAGGGAGTGTAGGGAGCGGAAAGTCCCTCTTCCCTCTGCTGTCAGGAGGAATGTGACTCTTTATTGTCCCGGGGAGGGTTGGAGGCCTGACTCAGAGGCACACATGAAACACTCTGTGAAGGTCTTTGAACGCACCTGATCCAGAGGAGGGGAACTTTTTACAGCTCCTTGGGCACTAATTGATTGAAAAAGAGAATATTGGTGTTTGAGTGCCTGTTAGCAAAATAACTCATGAACAGCCAGATGGATAAGATGAATCATTTGGTGTACTTCTACAGCTGGGTTCCATTTGGATTCAACAGGATTTAAGAAGTCACAGCCAGCTGACCTATAAAACAACGATCGTACATCACCCAGACTGTTTTACATACAATGACCTCAACTTTGGAGTGGTAGTAGCTACGAGTTAACCACCACACTTATCTTTAAAAGTTTTGCCTTTTAATTTTTTAAAGTCAACTTAATTTGTAAGCCAAATATTTCATGAACCACTGGGTTGATTTTAATAAAAAGTTCAGGAAATGATCATTGCATGTTTATCTACTTTAACCTTTTCGAGCCAGTTCAGTATAACATGGCTGCCACAACCAAGTGACCTTGGAAAATATCTTTATTTAAGTCAATTTTACAAATACTGTGCTAAAATTTGGTTTGCTTGTAGCTGAAAGATATTCACAACACATGAAGTATTGCATGTTGTGTAAAAACTTTGATTAAAACTGACAAAGTTGAACTTTGTTAGCGTTCCTTTAAATAAGTTTGACTCTGTTTGACCTAAACAATAATTTAGAAAATCACTTGGATATTCCTTCTGTCCTGCTGAAAATAACATGAACATAGAACAAAAATGTCACCAAATCTAACAAGAGGACCAAGTTTAGATTACGGCATAATCTCTAATCTGTCCGTGGTGTGAAAAAGAAAAACGTGAAGAGTTTAGTGTTCAAAAAAGTCTCGTCTCTAAACAAACATCTTCAGCTGAACATCTTGTGTGGAAGTGTGTTCGAGCACACAGACCCGCAGGTCAAAAGGTCACAGAGAGCTAAATCACCAGCCAGGAATAATGAAAAGCATAGAAGAGTGTGTTGTCACACACACACACACACACACACACCCTTGATGTCCCATCCCATCCACGAGCGCAGCTTTGAAGTGGGATCAGGCTGCAATGAACGCATCAAAGCCTTGATGTGTGGAGTATTACAGGAGCGGACGGGCCCTCTGTCTAAAATTACTGCAGCTTCATAAATAGGCACCACATTAATCTCACACACACACTGATCTACAGGCCACGTGAGGTTTTGGTCACTGGAGCTTTATTTAGACAACAAGCAGCTTGTTTGTTTGTAGCCTGATGGTGAAAAACAACCCTCTGGAGAGGTTTCGGAAGACGAGGTTCTAATTTTCCTCCTGGTTAAAACACGATAAAGTTTTCAAGAGTTCTTTCCTGGTCCGAACACACAGCCAGAGGAACTTAAACACCACGTCTCGATCTGACGCAGCATAAACATCCTGTGTCATTGTGCTCGGGCCAAAGCTCGTCACTGTGTGACCGCAGCGCATACTTCAACGAACACGAAGGGCGAGAAATGTAACCGATGACATCACCGGCCAATCCTTTTTTTTTCTCAAAGATAAACAGATAAGAAAAAGTCCATCAGAGGCATTTACTGCCAACACAAGAAGCCGCGCTGATAAGAAGAAGCAGGGTGTTGACGACCGGAAGGAACACGGTTCAGTTTGTTTCATCATCCTGATGAACTGAACAACAAGAACCGAACCTTCACCCAGAACCATATTAAATCTGCGATAATCCAAGAGTTCGTTCCAACGTGATGAAAACAGTTCTGTCAGTCTGAGAAAATACTGCACAGTTTAATGCTTTTGGTGAAGCTCAAAGGAGATTTGGTATTGTTTAGGTCAGGGCTATTCAACTGGTGGCCCGTGGGACATTTCCGGCCCGTGGGTGACTTCAATCCGGCCCACTTCATATATGTACTGTATGTATATATGTATATATATATATATATATATATATATATATATACCATATTTTTTGGACTATAAGGCACAATTAAAATCCTGTAATTTTCTCAAAACTCACCAGTGAGCCTTATGTATTAATTCTGGTTGTGCTTACTGACCTCAAACCAACTTTATGTGTACACGGTGCTCAAAAATCTGTCAAAATGTTTTAGTTTTGCTTAATGCACCTCACAATCCAGTGCACCTTATGTATGAAAACAGACCCGTTCATTGTTTGGGTTTTGTTTATTGCATTTATGATTCAATGCAATAGAATATACAAATTTAAATGTAACATATCATTGTAAACTTTGGTTTATTTACATTATGATTTAATTGCTGGATGTTTGGCCCCCGGCTGTTGGCTTTCAGAAACTGTTTAGTTGAATAGCCCTGGTTTGGGTTAAAGTTAATAAAAGTGTTGTGAGATGATAGTGGAAGAGAGCAATTGATTATTTTAGGACAAAACAAGTAGAATGTAACATTTCTTTGTATGTCTGAGAGGGAAAAAGGAGCTTTATTCTAAGAAAATAGTGTTCAAGTGCACCAAATTAAAGGTGGAGAAATAAATTTTCTGTGAAAACGCAGCATGAGTGCTGGATGAAATGTGTTGAATGAACGAATGAATATTTAAAAGGATTGTTAAAATAAGCAATTAATGAAGCTAAAATCAGCAAAACAGTAGATAAAAGCTCAAAATAGTAAAGTTGTAGCTAAAAGCTACAATTAGCAAGACAGTAGCTAAAAGAAACAATGCAGTAAAATTAAAGAAATAAATGTCAGTTTGCTGAAAAGTCAAAGAACCAAGTTTTCAAAGAGTCACAGAACACGCGATTTTCAATCTAGTGAAGCCTTTTGAAAAGCGGACGGGTAAAACATCATAAACGACGTGGAAGGAGTTTGATCATGAAGGAGAATCATTAAACAGGAAGACAAGGATGTGAACGCAGCATCAGCAGTCACACAGTGACTTTAAATTAATACATGTATTTTTAAATGTTCACTACCATTTTCTTAACCTTTAGAGTGCATTTTTGCAAATTAGGAGATCTTTTTGGATTTTCAGAAACACTAAATGACTACTAAAGCTTTCCAACAACCACCATGAGGCTTTCTTCTGCCGGATCTTCACTGGAACATCTCATTTAATTCTTTTTTTCAACAAGAACTAATATGCTTTGAAACGATCCTGAACCTATTAATTTTTACACACTTTAACTCTTTGTTTACATGTTCGAGGGACTGAATGAGACAGTAGCAGTAGCATTTAACTCGTCTTTATTTATATAATCCCACACTCGATCCTCCACCATGCTGAAGGTAAATAAAGGCTCATTAATCTGCTCCATTAAGTCTCATTCTTTGAGGGAGTGGCGGTGCAGAGGTTGATCGGAAGATCGCCAGTTCAAGGAATAGTTGAAGCACCCACACCTGTCTCCACCCTCATTTACCCCACTCTTGGCCCTTGAGCAAGGCCCTTAACCCCCAGCATCTGCTCCCCTGGGTGCCCTACATGCAGCTCTCTGCTCCACGCAGAGGGCTGCGGTAGCTCGATGGCCTGCGGTTGTGTCAGGAAGGACATCCGGCGTAAAAACAATTGCCAAGTCTTCGTGCGACTTATTCGTTGTGGCGACCTCTGAAGAAGAAAGCAGCCGAAAAGCTGTTTGTCTTAACAAACTGAGCATCTCTGCTCAAAAAATGTTGACACCTTCAGGAAACTACAGCTGTTTTCTTAACTATTTCAGACTATTTATTTTGGGAGTATAAATTTAAGCCTTTTCCATTAAAATTTAATTCTTCCAAGTCTCACTAATGAAATGATTAAATCCAACAGAATTTTGAGTATATCTGATTTAGGACAGTGAAAACAGTCACGTAATAATGTGCATCCACTGGTCTGTGATGGCCTTTAGAGCTTTTTAGTTAAAGTTAACTAAACTTCCTCCGTCGTCATCTTAGACGTAAGAAGACAAAAAGAAAAGTGGAAAAGATACAACAGTCTTCATCTGAATTGGAAAATGAAAAGGTCTTTGATAAATGGACAGTTCAGGCTCTGAATATAGAAAAGTGGTGATTCAGTTTGTAATAATGCTTTAACAAACAGTCTGTAAGGAGCTCATCAGGAGATCACGCCCCTTCGCCTCCCACATGGGTTGGCTCAGGTGTGCACCATGACTCACATCCTTCTGAAACTGAGGCTTCGCTCTGTTTCCCGTAAGCCTTCCCTTCTATCTTTGTTTCAGTTTAAAAGCTGCCATTTCCTCACGCCCTCTTCCTGTCGGAGTCTAATCTGACGCCAGAAGGACACAACACTAACGCCTCATGTAAATAAAAAAAAACCTCTAAACCCAAACAGCCGAGGATGTTAGGCAAGACACTTGTAATACAAACAGTCTCGTAGACGTGCGTCATGTTAACAGTATACTTCAACTCAAGATTTAAGACGAGCCCACGTGTGAAGAAGCTGGCAGCGGTGCACCACATGATCTGTTCCTGGATGACTGTATCTCACTCAACAACTATTCACAGGCTTGTTTTACCTGAAAAGGCCGCTGTCGGTGTTCAGCAGGGTGATGCGCGTCAGGTGATCAAATACCTGAACAATTGCTTTGCAAATACAAACACAGGCACACGCCCTCAGGCCATGACTGATGCAGAGTAAAGCCATAAAGTTTTTATGAAAAACGGAACTTTTGGTCATAAACTGAAGCCGTGAGAAGCGTGTGACTGAAAACTCAGATTTTTTATTTATCGGATTTTAATTTTGTCATTCAAAGGTCATCTGAGTCCCAGAGGCAGCCATGAGGATGAAACCAGACAAGGATTCCCCCTCAGCTT